TTTGCACACGGCTGAACCGGGTTTGATTCCTCCTCCTCTCTCGGAGAGTTCAGCAAGTTCCCGAGAGGATCCCGCCCACACCGCAGAGCCTGGCAAGCTCCCCGTGGCGTCTTTGAGATGCCAAAAACAGTCACAGCAAGTCTCACCATGGAGACGTGACTGGTGCCCGCTCGAGCAAACCGTTGAACAACGGGAGGACAGTGCGACAGGGATTTTTTTCCCCCTCCAAGACTGTGCTGCTTGTGAAACCAGAGAGGTCCCTATTCTTCCACCGCCTCCAAGGACAAAGACGGGCGTGCAAACCCCTAGCACTGGCGTGACACTCACCCGATCGGAACGAGTGTCTCCCCGTGAGGAAGGCGGCTCGGCTTGGGGTGCAGAGCGGGGCAGCAGCCAAGTGTTGGGTCAGTCTCACGCCTTCTTTGGCGAGCCGGTCAATATTGGGCGTCCTGCAGAGAAACACAAGGAACGTTCCTCGTGAAGTCGGGACGGGACCTCCATCCGCTTAAGGAGATCCCCTCTGTTGAAATGTTGTGAGACAAGACAGGCAGACCGAGGCACCGACAGACAGATAAGAAACATAGGAGATTGGGGCTGGAGCGATAGCACAGCGGTAGGGCATTTGCCTTGCACGCAGCCAACGTGGCCGACCCGAGTTCGATTCCTCCGCCCCTCTCGGAGAGCCCGGCAAGCTACCGAGAGTATCTCGCCCGCACGGCAGAGCCTGGCAAGCTCCTCATGACGTATTCGAGATGCCAGACACAGTAACAACAAAGTCTCCAATGGAGACGTTACTGGGCCCGCTCGAGCAAATTGATGAACAACGGGAGGACAGTGATATATATGTATTTATAAATATATATATATTTATTTATCTATCATGATCATGATCACGACCATCCCGTTGTTCGTCGATTGCCTCGAGCAGGCCCCAGTAATGTCTCCTTTGCCCTAGCCCTGAGATTCTAAAAAGTGCGAATTCAAGGCTCTTTCAGGGTTAGGAGAATGAGACCCATCCTTGTTACTGGTTTTCGGCATATTGGGTACGCCACGGGGAGTTTGCCAGACTCTGCCGTGTAAGGTCACATTCGGTAGCCTGCCAGGTTGTCAAAAGTAAGATTGAGATCATAAGATGTCGCTTCCGGGAGCTGGGTTTGATAGTCTCTGGGTCTTGGCCGTTGATGGGATTACACGGCGCCAGGGGGCCAGTTGGTGGGTGTGACCCCCGCCCACTGGAATTTGGAGGGTCTGGGTGGAGGATGCTCAGCGCATATTTATCTGTATGTAGATAAATAAGACACAGATACATAAAAACATAGATACAGGGGCTGGAGCAATAGCCCAGTGGGTAGGGCGTTTGCCTTGCACGCGGCCGACCCGGGTTCGATTCCCAGCATCCCCTAGGGTCCCCTGAGCACCGCCAGGAGTGACTCCTGAGTGCAGAGCCAGGAGGAACCCCTGAGCATCGCCGGCTGTGACCCAAAAAAAAAAAATACACACACACACATATAAGGCAGCTGAATAGACAAGAGATTAGAATGATGAACAGATGTCTGCAATCACAGGAAGCCGGGTAAATTTATGAAACCCAGGTGGGAAAGGGTCTCCTGCCTTGGTCTGTTTCTCCTGCAGGCTCTGTTGCCGCTACCATCTTCCAGACACCAGGGAGGGGGCCCCGCAGAGATGAGGAACACGAGGCCTCATGGGATGGGGGTAGAGCTGGCCGTCCCCACCCCACACACCCGAGCCCCGATGAGACCCCCAAGTCACCGCCCACGAACGAGCCCTCTGGCTGTTGATCAAGGTGCTTGTTGGCCGTGATCCCAGACACTCAGAAGCAGAACTCGAAACCCAGCGGCTTGGCGGCAGAAATCCCTCCAGATTTAGTTCCCGAACCTTGAGAATTCCAAAATGGCACGGCCGCGATAGCAATAAGAAATTCATAACCATAAGTGTTAGAATTTCGGAATTTCAAAATCGCGTGGCCAATACTGCAGCCACGCGACATCATATGTTCTTCAAAACCAGCAATAGAACACAAATTGTCTACGGTTGCCTTTTCAGCAGCTCTGAGTTTTGGGGTAAAATCCCACATAACAATGGCGGGTCTGGTGTCAAAATATTGAATGTGATCAAAGTAGAGAGAGAGAATAATGTGGAAATCATCTGCCCCTCAGGTAGGGGGAGGGTGTGGAATGGGGGTCATACTGGGAGTTTTTGTCGTGGAGAATGGGCACTGGTGAAGGGACGGGTGTTTCATTGTATGACCGAGACTTAGACCCGAAAGCTTTGGGACTGCTCTCACGGTGATTCAATAAATAAAATGATGAAAAATGAAAAAAAAAAAGTAAGGTGGAATTCATGCCCAGTTCAATCAGCTAATCAGTGACTGAATACATAGCAGTGCTCCTACATTAAAAAAAAATAAATTCATAATCAGCAATCATCATCATATGCAATTTATAGTCAGCAAGAGAAAACAAATTGTCTAATGTTGTTTGTTTGTTTGTTTTTTTTTCGGCAGATCGGAGTGTTGGGGTAAAACCCCCAATATAATAATGGTGGGTCTGGGGTCAAAATAGTGAATGTCATCAAAGTAGAGAGAGAGAGAGAGAGAAAAAGAGAGTAATGTGGAAAAATCATCTGCCCCACGGGTAGGAGGAGGGATTTGGGATGGGGGTATTCCGGGGTTCTTGGTGGTAGAAAATGTCCACCGGCGAAGGGTCTGGTGTTTCCGCATTGTATGACCGAGACTTAAACTGAAAACTTTGTAACTGCTCTTATGGTGATTCGATAAAAAAAAATTTAAAAAAAAATTTGCTGGGTGGGGTTGGAGCGATAGCACAGCAGGGAGGGCGTTGGCCTGGCACGCGGCTGACCCGGGTTCGATTCCCAGCATCCCATAGGGTCCCCCGAGCACCGCCAGGAGTCATTCCTGAGTGCAGAGCCAGGAGGAACCTCTGAGCACTGCCGGGTGGGACCCAAAAAGCAAAAAAAAAGCAAAAAAAAAAAAAAAGAACAGACGATGATTCATGCAACTAGTGAAATTCTCTAAGGTCGCCCAAATCATCCATAGCGTAGCCCCCAAATAAAAGAATTAGTTTATTATATTGTCACTTGAGTTATCTAAAACCTCCAGCCAGGAGGGCACCTGCCTTGCACACAGTTCGATGCCCGGCAGCTTTTATGATCCTCTGAGCCGGCCAAAGACATCCTTGAGCACTGAGCCAGGAGTAATCCCTGAGCATAGCTGGGTGAGACCCCCAAACAAACAAACAAACAAACAAAAAAGCAAGCGTGTAGAGGGCATGGTTTCTGATCCTAACGGCATTTAGATGTCACGTGCTTGCAACTAAAATAGGAGTCACAGAGCTCCCTAGACATCTGAATCGATGCAGTGACCCCCTGAAGTCAAATCAAATCAAATCACTACCCCTCAGCAGGGGACTCCAAGTGTCAGGTGCATGTGTGATTCCTCCACTTCCTCCCTCTCTCCCTCTCTCCCTCCCTCCCTCCATCCCTGCCTCCCTCCCTCCCTCTCTCCACGCACACATCCATTCCATCACCCCTTATTCATTCTGTCTTCCTGTTCCTCTGTCCCTCATTAATCATTGATTAATCTCTTCCAGTAACCCATCTTTCCATTAACCATCCACGATCTAAATATTTCTTTTCTTCTTGGGTCCCACCCGGCGATGCTCAGGGGTTCCTCCTGGCTCTGCACTCAGGAATCCCTCCTGGCAGTGCTCGGGGGACCCTATGGGATGCTGGGAATCGAACCCGGGTCAGCCGCGTGCCAGGCCAACGCCCTCCCTGCTGTGCTATCGCTCCAACCCCTACGATATATATATATTTTAATTTGTTTCGCTTTTGGACCACACTTGGTGATGGGCGGGGGTGACTCCTGGCTCTGCACTCAGGGCTCACTCCAGGCAGTGCACCAAACAGGATGCGGGGGATCGAACCCGGGTCGGCTGCGGGCAAAACAAGTGCCCTCCCTGCTGTGTGTATCTACTATAGCTCTGGCCCAGAATTTTAAAATATAAACACCAAGTTCAGCTCTCCGTTTCAGTCCTACGAGAGGAGTTTCCGGAGTTTTTGCGTGCCTGGATGTGTTTAAAATCGTGATGCTAAGAATAGCCAGTTGGCAAAAATACAGATACGATCTCCTTTCGGTCTGTGCCGTTGTGGAAGTAGGTGTTTGCATGGCACATAGCTGTTGCTGAGAATTAAATATTATTATCTGTTCCATTCGCTCTCAACGGAACCACCATCTCCGAATGCAACAGTTAAATATACCGAGGTTGAGAAGTCATCATGAGTTGCGCAGGAGGAAGAGAGCGGGTTGGAATGCCTTCAAGAGCGTTGAAGAAATAACTGAGAGGACAAAGAACCTCCAGCTCCGAGCACATCTCTTCGATTCCACTGTTCTTCCTGCATTAACATACGCCTCAGAGACCTGGGCCCTACGAAAACGGGATGAGAACGCTATTCGGGTCTCTCAAAGAGGAATCGAAAGAGTTATGCTTGGAATATCACGCGTCACTCAAATGAGAGATAGAATCCGGAGTTCCGATCTCCGACAACGCTCAAGAATCAGGGACGCTGTCTCATTGGCCAAGGCGTCGAAAATCAGATGGGCTGGACACGTAATGAGGTTTAGAGACGACCGCTGGACTAGAGCCATGACTGACTGGATTCCACGGGACGTCAAAAGACCGCGTGGACGCCCACCTACAAGATGGTCAGACTTCTTCGTCAAGACCCTGAACGATCGGTTTGAGGCTCTGCATGTTCCTAGAACGTGCAGATGCCACTGGGCTACGCTAGCACGCAACAGGGATGGATGGAGACGTTACTGGCACCCGCTCGAGTCAATCGATGAATAACGGGGGATCAAGTGATCAAGTGATCTGTTACTGTATACCTCAGATTAGACTTTGATAAATTATTAAACGTAAACTATTAGAAAATGTATATTGTAGAACACGGTACATATTCACATTAATTTCTGCATTCTCTTCCAGATGTTGTTAGACATACAAAATGTTAAGCGGTATTCTAGTTGGCAGCACAACGGGTAGGGCGTCTGCCTTGCACGCGGCCAACATGGCCGACCTGAGTTCGATTCCTCCACCCCTCTCGGAGAGCCCGGCAAGCTACCGAGAGTATTCGATATGCCAGACACAGTAACAACAAAGTCTCCAATGGAGACGTTACTGGGCCCGCTCGAGCAAATCGACGATCAACGGGAGGGCCTTTACCTTACCTTACCTAGTTGGCATACTAGGCATGGCCAACTGTCTCTGTTTAATACTTGGAGTTTATAATAGTTTATGAATGAAATCATAAAATGATTTGTAAATCGGCGACAGAATAACATGTTAACTGTTCGTTGTGGTTCCTTGTATTAATAACATTGCTGTTCCGTGTAATATATATATATATTTATTTTATTTTATTTTTTGCTTTTTGGATCACACCTGGCAATGCACAGGGGTTATTCCTAGCTCTGCACTCAGGAGTTACCCCTGGCGGTGCTCGGGGGACCCTCGGGGATGCTGGGAATCAAACCCAGGTCGGCCGCGTGCAAGGCAAACGCCCTCCCCACTGTGCTATCGCTCCAGCCCCCCGTGTAATATTTTTTAAAAAATCTTTTTTTGGGGGGAAAGTAAAATTAAGATGAAACTGAGCCATACATGCACTAAGGAATATTTCACAATGTTTCGGTTACTTATTAAAAGGTACTTTCTTGGGGCTGGAGCTACAGCACAGAGGGTAGGGCGTTTGTCTTGCACGCGACCGACCCGGGTTCGATTCCCAGCATCCCCTAGGGTCCCCCGAGCACCGCCAGGAGTGATTCCTGAGTGCAGAGCCAGGAGGGACCCCTGTGCATTGCCAGGTGTGACCCAAAAAGCAAAATAATTAAATAAAGAAATAAATAAAAATAAAAGGTACTTTCTTGATCATGTCACTTTGTACTTTTCTAGAAAAGGATTCTCTCTTTAAAAAAAATCTCAAGTCATCATATGGAGTGATATCATTAGATTCTTCAAGTTGGCTTATTAGCGAAGATTTTTTTTTTTATTAGTTCTTAAACAGTTTTTAATCTAGTCTGTTCTCAAAGGAAAAATGATTGCTGGGGAGGGGGGAAAAACCAGGCTAGATAACTCCTACGTGGCTATTTCTCATATAAGAATCTTTTTACTGAAGTCAGCATGTTTTATGAAACGTGTACGTGTCTTTTCAAAGTAATAATAATAAAAAAACCTAACATAAAAAAAAAAAAGGAATAGCCAGTTGGAATCCCAGTTATTTTTGAACTGAAAAAAAATAAATAAATAAGAGCATTCTCCGAATGCCAGAAATTCCTCTGCTGATGTCAGAGAGACGCAGAGGGCACGCATGAAACTTTTTTCCGTGTCCCCTCTCTCTTTCCTTGAAGGGCCTCCGAGCAGCTGACGGTTCTATTTTAGACAAGTGTCCACTGCGTCTGGGGCCCCGCTGTGGGTCTGGCTTTGCGGGCGGAGCACGGGACACCTTTTGGCCCTTGGTGCCAGAAATAACGCCAGTCCCGGCAAGCCAAGGCCTGACCGGCTCTCCGGAATTCTCCAGCGCCTCTCCAGGGACCTGGAAAATTCATCAGTCGCCCAGCAGCGTTCCCTGACACCCAGTACCTCAGTGTCCGGTTTCCGTAGCAACCCAGGTCCCCAATGCCCAGGTCGTCGGCCATAATCAGCAGAATGTTGGGCTTCGGGGCATCTGCAGCCCTGGCGGCGGGCAACGTCTTCAGAAGGACGCAGGTCAGGGGCAGGAGCCAGGGAGAGACCCTGCAGAGGAAGGGTGGAAATTGGAAAAAATAATAATAGTAATAGTAAAAAGGTAGAAATCTGCTAAGTTCCCCGGGCTTGGTTGGGCTGCCGTAGACACATGAAATTGGGATTGGCCAAATGAAGGGGGTCTCGCTCTCGGAACCAGCTGTGTACCCACAGCTGGCCGGGAAAATTTACAGTCCACTTGGGCTTTCTTTCTTTCTTTCTTTCCTTCCTTTCTTTCTTTCTTTCTTTCTTTCTGTCTTTCTTTCTTTTCTTTCTTTCTTTCTCTTTCCTTTCTCTTTCTTTCCTTCTTTTCTTTTTCTATATTCTTCTCTTTCGTTTCTCTTTTTTCTTTCTTTCACTCTTTTCCCCTTTCTTTCCTTCATTTCTTTTCTAAATTCTACTTCTTTCCTTCCTTTCTTCTTTCTCTTTCCTCTCTTTCTTTCCATTCTTTTTCTTTCTTTCTTTCCTTCTTTCTTTCCTTATTCTATATCCTCTTTTGTTTCTCTTTTCTTTCCTTCACTCTTTCTCCCTTTCTTTCCTTCATTTCTTCTCTAAGTTCTACTCCTTCTTTTCTTCCTTTCTCTTTTCTTCTTTCTTTCTCTTCCCTCTCTTCTTTCTCTTTCCTTTCTCTTCTTTCTTTCTTTCCTTTCTTTTCTTTCTCTTTCTTTCCTTCTTTTCTTTTTCTATATTCTTCTCTTTCGTTTCTCCCTTTTTCTTTCTTTCACTCTTTTTCCTTCTTTCCTTCTTTTTTCTATATTCTACTCTTTCCTCTCTTTTTTCTTTCTTTCACTTCCCTTTCTTTCTTTCCTTCATTTCTTTTCTAAATTCTACTTCTTCTTTCCTTCCTTTCTCTTTTCTTCTTTCTTTCTTTCCATTCTTTCCTTTTTCTTTCTTTCCTTCGTTCTTATTCTATATTCTCTTTCATTTCTTTTCTTTCACTCTTTCTCCCTTTCTTTCATTTCTTTTCTAAGTTCTACTCCTTTTCTTCCTTTCTTTTCGTCTTTCTTTCTCTTCCCTCTCTTCTTTCTCTTTTCTTTCTTTCTCTTTCTTTCCTTTTCTATATTCTTTCGTTTCTCCTTTTTTCTTTCTTTCACTCTTTTTCCTTCTTTCTTTCCTTCACTTCTTTTCTAAATTCTACTCCTTCTTTCCTTCCTTTCTCTTTTCTTCTTTCTTTCTCTTTCCTCTCTTCTTTCTTTCCATTCTTTCTTTTCTTTTTCTTTCTTTCCTTCGTTCTTATTCTATATTCTCTTTCATTTCTTTTCTTTCACTCTTTCTCCCTTTCTTTCATTTCTTTTCTAAGTTCTACTCCTTTTCTTCCTTTCTCTTTTCTTCTTTCTCTTCCCTCTCTTCTTTCTCTCTTTCATTTCTCTTTTCTTTTCTTTCTCTTTCTTTCCTTCTTTTCTGTTTCTATATTCTTTCATTTCTCTTCTTTTTCTTTCTTTCACTCTTTCTCCCTTTTTTCTTTCCTTCATTTCTTTTCTAAATTCTACTCCTTCCTTTCTTTCTCTTTTCTTTCTCTTCCCTCTCTTTTCTTTCTCTTTCTTTCCTTCTTTTCTTTTTCTATATTCTTTCATTTCTCTTTTCTTTCTTTCACTCTTTCTCCCTTTCTTTCCTTCATTTCTTAAGTTCTATTCCTTCTTTCCTTCCTTTCTCTTTTCTTCTTTCTTTCTCTTCCCTCTCTTCCCTCCCTTCCTTCCTTCCTTCCTTCCTTCCTTCCTTCCTTCCTTCCTTCCTTCCTTCCTACGCCTGGATTTCAGTGCTCCCAGAGGTCCACCAGGTCTGTGGGCGTCCCCTGGCCTCTGCGCAGAGGGTGGCCGCGTAACGGAGGGCGCAAAGCACTAAGGATTCCGCAGAGAAGACGCGGCAGAGACAACACCCAAGCACCGTCAAGGGCCTACGGGGGCCGAAGGGGGCCTGCGCGGTCAGTGGCCAGCTGGGAGGCACGAAGGCACCATCCAAAAGGTGCGCAAAAGGGCCAAGGCGCGCGCAGGCCGTGCGTAAAAGACGCAAGGCGCACCCCGGAGTGCGCTCTCCGTGTCTCCGGGAGCCAAGCCCCCTTTTCTTGGCCCACTGCCGGGGGTCTCACAGCCCCCAGCCTGGACACCCTCCTAGACCTCCAGTCCTGAAAGTATACGGTGGGCGCGGGCCTGGGGCACGGTGGTAACCCCCCAGGAGACCCCAGGGGGATGCCGTTGGCTTGGAGAGTAAAGGGGCGTCCCTGGAAGGACTGGGGTGGGGGGGGACCCCCCTTAGGCACCCTTAGTAAGGCCGAGGGGAGGGTCACTTTCTTCTCTCGGTCCTGTTTTGCTTTGGAGAGACGCAGGGCCCAGGAGAACTGACTTTGCGCTCAGGAATCACTCCCGGCCGGGCTTGGGGGCCACTCCGGAATGTCCAGGTCGAACCCACATGGACCACGTGCAAGACCAAGCGCCCTGAAAGCAGTCCTTTAGCTCTGGCCCTGGCTGGGGTTCCTTTGTCCAGTTGATGGGGACCCGGGGGTTATCCGAGGTGCTGGTTATAGGCGTCTCAGACCCGTGGACAGGGAGGGAGGGTGGTCCCGGCCACAGCTAAGGAGGTCCAGGATGGGGCTGGACTGATAACCCAGCGGGGAGGGCGTTTGCCTTGCACAAAGCCGACCCGGGTCCCATTCCCAGCATCCCGTAGGGTCCCCCGGGCAGCGCCAGGAGTGATTCCTGAGTCCAGAGGCAGGAGGGACCCTTGAGCATTGCCGGGTGGGACCCAAAAGGGAGAAAAGAAAAAAAAATAATAAGGAGGTCCAGGGAACTGCTTTAGGCCAAATACCCGTGAGTGCCTTATAGGGACTGCCGCAGAGGTGCAGAACAAAGGGGCGACTTGTGGACTGGGGGGAGATGGGGGTGAACGAGGGAGCCGGTCAGGGTGGGACACGGAGGCAGGAGGGGGTCAGAGGCTTGGGGAGGAGAGGGAAGACGGGGAGCAGAGGTGTCGGCCCTGCAGGGTTTGGACAGCGCAGGACTGGGTGGAGGAGGAGGAGGAGGAGGAGGAGGAGAAGGAGGAGAAGGAGGAGGAAGGAGGACAAGGGAGGAGGAGGAGGAAGAAGGAGGGAAGAGGGAGGAAAAGGAGAAGAGGGAAGAGGAGGAAGAAGGAGGAGGAGAAGGAAGAAGAGAAGGGAGGAGGAGGGAGGAAGAGGAGGAAGGAGGGAAGAGGGAGGAGGAGGAGGAGAAGGGGAAGAGAGAGGAGAAGGAAGGAGGAGAAGGAAGAAGAGGAGGAGGGAGGAGGAGGAAAAGGAGAAGGAGGGAGGAAGAAGAGAAGGAGGAAGAGGAGGGAGGAGGAGGTAGAGGAGAAGGAGGAGGGAGAGGAGGAGGAAGGAGGGAAGAGGGAGGATGAGGAGAAGGAGGAGGTGGAGGAGGAGGAGGACGAGAATGAGGAGGAAGAGGAGAATGAGAAGAAGGAGAAGGAGAAGGAGAAGAAAGAGGAGGAGGAGGAGAAGGAGAAGGACAAGAAGGAGGAGGAAGGGGAGAAGGAGAAGAATAAGAAGGAGGAGGAGAAGGAAGAGAAGAAGAAGAAGAAGAAGAAGAAGAAGAAGAAGAAGAAGAAGAAGAAGAAGAAGAAGAAGAAGAAGAAGAAGAAGAAGAGGAGGAGGAGGAGGAGGAGAAGAAACAGGAGGAGGAGGAGGAGGACCATGAGAAGGTGGAGGAGGAGGAGGAGGAGGAAGAGGAGAAGGAGGAGAAGGAGGAGGGAGTAAGGGAGGGACAAGGGCGGAGGAGGAGGAAGAGGAGGAGGAGGGAGGAGGAAGGAGAGGGAGAAAGAGAAGAAGGAGGACGAGGAGGTGGAGGATGAGGAGAAGAAAAAGGAGGAAGAGGAGGAGGAGGAGGAAGAGGTTGAGGAGAAGGAGGGATGAGGAGGAGAATGAGGAGGACTGCGAAGAGGTGGAGGAGGAGGAGAAGGAAGAGGTGGAGAAGCAGGAAGAGGGAGGAGGAGGAGGTGGAGGAGGATGAGGAGGAGGAGGAGGAGGAAGAGGTTGAGGAGGAAGAGGAAGAGAATGAGGAGGACCACGGGGAGGTGGAGGAGGAGGAGGAAGAGGAGGGAGGCGGGAGAAGGAAGAGGTGGAGGAGGCGGAGGAAGGAGGGACGAGGGAGGAGGAGGAGGAAGAAGAGGAGGAGGAGGAGGCGGCGACAGGGAGGGACCTTAGCATTAGAGGCAGAGACAGGGCCGGGTGCCAGCAAGCCCGGGGACAGGAGAAGGGACTTCCCGTTGTTGTTGGACAAGGGACAGAGCTTGGAGCATTGGAGGTGGACAGAGGGGACACAGCCTTGCAGGCGGGCGGCGCAGGGACAGGCCCCCGGCCTGGCGCGTGGAGAGGGAGGGGACTGAGCCTGGAGGCGCACAGGGGAGTGGCCAGCGCCGTGCACGCGCCTGCCCAGTGGCGAGGGCCAGGCGGGGCCAAGGCGGGGCGCGCCTGGACAGTCCCTCCCTTCCTCCGGGCCCGGTTCCCCAGCGCTTCCTGTTTTTCAGTCTCTGCCCCGCACCCCTCGGTGGGTGGGTGGGGGGGTCCCCCTCGCGCGCCCCAGGTGCCCCCTGCACTGTCCAGCTCACCCTCGCTTTGTATTGGGACCCTGGGCCTACGCGCGCGCTTTGGAGACCCCCGGGGCGCGCACTCTCTCCTCAGGGACACCCTTCCCTCCCTCCCTTTCCAGCCCTGGCCCCCCGGAGCCCCCCAATCCGGGACTTGAAGGGGGTCCCACGCACCTGGCGAAGGGGACTGCGCGTCCCAAGCGGGCGGCAGGTCCCATGGCCAAACGCACGCACCAGAGAGCGCGCACAGGGGCGCGCGTTGAGAGCCGGTGGACCTTGTCCCCCTCAAGGCCGCTGCGTCTCCGCCCACCGCGGGGCCGCGCCCCAGGCCAGACTGCGAGGTGCACCGGGCACCCCCCTGCCGGGGTCATGCCTCTGTAAGCCTCTTACACCCCGGGAACGAGGGAGAAACTGGTTTTCCGAGCTGGGCGCGCGCGCAGGCAGGCGAGGAGGTGATTCAGCGTCTGCAGAGGCCTGGGCCAGTCGGGTCCTGCCCACAGCTGCGAGGTCCCGGACTGCGTCTCCGCAGGCATTTGGCAGTGACCACCAAGCCCGGGACCAGATAAGTGATCAGAGAATGACAAACGGATGATGCCCAAGAGCCTCTGAATATGCTTTGGGGGTTGGGAGTGGTAGTGGAGAGAGAAGGGGAAGGCCCTTGCCTTGCCTGTGGCCAAGTTAAGGTGGGTCCTTGGCACTTCAAGGGGTCCCCAGAGCACCCGCCAGGTGTGGCCCCTAAACTAAGAAGAATAAGAGACACACGCAAGGGAGCTGGAGCGATAGCACAGAGGGGAGGGCGTTGGCCTTGCAACGCCCGGGTTCGATTCCCGGCATCCCATAGGGTCCCCCGAGCACTGCCAGGAGTAATTCCTGGGTGCAGAGCCAGGAGGAACCCCTGTGCATTGCCGGGTGTGACCCAAAAAAAGCAAAAAAAAAAAAAGAAGAAAAGCATTGTTACGAAAATTGAGTAAATTTGTCAATATCAACAGAACATGAATTCCCTTCAAAAAAGTACAAAATCCCTTAGCGATAGCACAGCGGGGAGGGCGTTGACCTTGCACGTGGCCGACCTGGGTTCGATTCCCCGGCATCCCATAGGGTCCCCCCGAGCACCGCCAGGAGGGATTCCTGAGTGCAGAGCCAGGAGGAAGCCCTGAGCATCGCTGGGGGTGACTTAAAAACCAACAAAAACAAAGACACACACACACACACACACACACAAGCTGCCCAACTAAGGTGACCTCTGTCACCAGCAGGGGTGGTCCTGCAATGGACTCATTGCTGAGTGCTCATCCCTCTTCTGCCAGACGCTTGAAATGTCCCTGGGGGGCAAGGCTCACGCCCAGGACAGACCCGTGTTGGTCCTGCACCCTCCGGTTTTATTCTGACTCTCACACCTTCACTCGGGGAACTAGGGGAGCCCCGGCAGCAGCTGGGATTGGGGTGTGTGTGTGGGGGGAGGGGGGGGGAGCCCACCCAGAGTCTGATGACCGACCCCCTCTTCTCTCCAGCTGCCAAGTGGGGGCGCAGAACACACTCGCGGAGGGTGGGAAGGAGCCCCGGGACGTTGATTCCAGAATGCAGTGTGTCCCAGGTCCAAGACAAAGCAAGAGGCAACGCAGAATGTCCCAGCTTCCAGGATAAGAGGGACCGAGAGGGACCCAGCGGGGAGGGTGTTTGCCTTGCACGCGGCCGACCCGGGTTCGATTCCCAGCATCCCCTAGGGTCCCCTGAGCACCGCCAGGAGGGATTCCTGAGTGCAGAGCCAGGAGTCAGCCCTGAGCATCGCCGGGTGGGACCCCAAAACGCAATCAAATCAATCAATCAATGAATCAAGAGTGATGAACCAGGGACCTGGCAATAGCACAGTGGGGAGGGCATCTGCCTTGCACACGGCCAACCCGGGTTCGATTCCCAGCATCCCCTAGATCCCCCGAGCACCGCCAGGAGGGATTCCTGAGTGCATGAGCCAGGAGGAACCCCTGGGCATCGCCAGGTGGGACCCAAAAAGCAAAGAAAAAAAAAAAAAAAAGAAAAGCAGAAAAACCGGTTGCTTTTGTCCAAGATCACATGATTACATCCTGGAATGAGATTAGGTCTCTGGAATTAACTATCCTGTGGTAGGGCTGGATGTTGTGACCAAAACAACAGCAACAACAACAAAATAGATGTGTACTCTGTAGGCTGGAGCAATAGCACAGCGGGGAGGGCGTTTGCCTTGCACAAGGCGGACCCGGGTTCGATTCCTCCGTCCCTCTCGGAGAGCCTTTCGGCCAGCTCCCGAGAGGATCCCGCCCTCCCGGCAGAGCCTGGCAAGCTCCCCATGGTGGCGTCTTCGAGATGCCAAACACAGTTACCACGAGTCTCACCGTGGAGACGTGCCTGGTGCCCACTCAAGCCAATCGATGAACAACGGGAGGACCGTGCTATATTATTGATTATTGATTCTGAGGCAAGGAACAGAGTAGGAATTTATTATCATCATCATTACTGATTATTAACAACAAGTCTCACCCTGGAGACGTGACTGGTGCCCGCTCGAGCCAATCGATGAACCACGGGAGGACAGTGCGACCCTGCTACTCTGTAGGTAACAGAAACCCGCTGTGTAATGCTAACTAACGTGCCAAGATGAAACCAGAAGAACTCGCTGGACCGAGTGCCCGGGGTCCTTGTTGAGACCCGCTGCGTCGGGCGGAGAACCTGGATGGACCCCAGCTAGCTGGAGCCAGAAACCTGGCTGCGTGATTTGCATTTTCGGCTCCGTGGTCCGTCCCCGCGGGGTGGTCGACTTTGGACTCGAACTCTTGGAGCCAGCAACGGTTTGCCAGGTGCCAGACAAAGCCGGAGAGTCGGCGTAAGTCCAAAAACGGGCGCGTCTGAGCCACTCGGTGTGCCGTGACACCCCGGTGATAAGAGCCGGCCTCGACGTGCCGGCGTATCCGTGAGGAGAAATAATTAATTGCTCCAGATCTCTAAAGGGGACACCCTGTGTTTCTCGTGTCCCCGAGTGGAGCTGTCCACGCCGGCTCCAGCCGGCGACGTTGTGTGTTCAGGGCTCGCCCGTCTCGTGGTCGTCACACCAGCAGAGAGGGAACCGTCCACAGCACGGCTGCAGCCAGGGTTTCCAGACGTTGCCGGCGTCCAGCTGCAGGGCCACGGGGCTGACCGTCCGCCGGTGCTCCTCCACGGCCCGCCGGACCCTGGCCACCACCTCCGGGAACCGGGGCTCCGTGTGGACGCTGAGGGGCCGGGTTTCTCCGGGGTCGCTGGCCAGGTTGAAGAGCAGAGGCGGGTCGTGTTCAATCACGCCGGGCCCCGAGCAGGGACAGACACCTCGGCCGTAACAGGCACCCGCGCCAGGGGGATGGAAACGCGGGGTCACGTAATGCACCTTCCAGACAGCGCCGGCTGCGAGACGGGAGAGAGGACAGAATGGGACCCGCAGCCCACATGCACGGGCAGGGTCTAAGATTCTCGCCAACTGGGGCTGGAGCGATAGTACGGTAGGGAGGGCGTTTGCCTGGCACGGCGGCAGACCCGGGTTCGATCCCCAGCATCCCACAGGGTCCCCCCGAGCACCACCAGGAGTCAGTCATTCAGCTAATAGACTGGTTGTTAGACTGGAAGATACATTGACTTGTAGGTAGGTAGGAGGTGTGAGCGGACTAATAGATAAATTAATAGATTGGTTGGCAGATTGGGAGATGCGTTGAATCGTAGGTAGGTTAGTAGGTTTGTTGATAGAGTAATAGATAAGTTAATGGATTAGTGGGTAGACGGAAAGATACTATCGAATCGTAGGTAAGTAGTAGGTGTGTTGGTAGAGTAATATCTAAGTTAGTAGACTGGTTGGTAGATTGGAAGACAGATTGAATTGTAGGTAGGTAACTGTGTCAACAGAGTAATATCTAAGTTAATAGATTGGTTGGTGGGAGATACATTGAATTATAAGTAGGTTGTGGGTGTCAACAGACTGATAGATAAGTTAATAGATTGGTATATTGGGAGATACACTGAATTGTAGGTAGGTAGTAGGTGTCAATGGAGTAGTAGATAAGTTAATAGATTGGTTGTGGTAGATTGGAACATATATTGAATTGTGGGTAGGTAACTGTGTCAACAGAGTAATATCTAAGTTAATAGATTGGTTGGTGGAAGATACATTGAGTTATAAGCAGGTCGTAGGTGTCAACGGACTAATAGATAAGGTAATAGATTGATTGTGGTAGATTGAAAGATACACTGGAATCATAGGTAGGTAACTGTGTCAACAGAGTAATATCTAAGTTAATAGATTGGTTGGTGGAAGATACATTAAATCATAGGTAGGTAGAAGGTTTGTTGAGAGAGTAATAGGTAAGTTAACAGATTACTGGGTAGACTGAAAGGTAATATGGAATCATAGGTAAGTAGTAGGTGTGTCGATAGAGTGATATCTAATTAACAGACTGGTTGGTAAACTGAAAGATACTTTGAATCGTAGGTAGATAGTAGGTGTCAGTGGACTAATAGATAAGTTAATAGATTGATTGGTATATTGGGAGATACATTGAATCGTAGGTAGGTAGTAGGTGTCAATGGAGTAATAAGTTAACAGATTGATTGTGGTAGATTGGAAGATAGATTGAATCGTAGGTAGGTAACTGTGTCAACAGAGTAATATCTAAGTTAATAGATTGGTTGGTGGGAGATACATTGAATTATAAGTATGTAGTAAGTGTCAACGGACTAATAGATAAGTTAAGAGATCGGTTGGTAGATTGGAAGATATATTGAATCGTAGGTAGGTAACAGGTTTGTCGATGGAGTAATAGGTAAGCGAATAGATTAGTGGGTAGACTGAAAGGTAATACCGAACTAATAGATAAATTAATAGATTGGTTGGTAGATTGGAAGATACACTGGAATTGTAGGTAGGTAGGCGTGTCAACAGAGTACTATCTAAGTTAATAGATTGGTTGGTGGAAGATACACTGAATTATAAGCAGGTAGTAGCTGTCAACGGACTAATAGATAAGTTAATAGATTGATTGGTAGATTGGGAGATACACTGAATTGTAGGTAGGTAGTAGGTTTGTTGATGGAGTAACAGGTAAGTTAATAGATTGGTGGGTAGATTGGGAGATAATATCGAATCATAGGTAGGGTAGTAGGTATGTCGACAGACTGATAGTTAAGTTAATCAATAGATTGGTAGATCGATCAATATGTAGGTGGGGAGGGTGGATCCAACGTAGAGGGAGGCGATGCAGGTGTGAGGCTTTGAGTTTATCCCCCAAATAACCGTACTCTACAGGTGTTATTAGTAAATGTCCCTCTCCCCCTCAAACACACACACAGAAACACACACGCGCACACACACACACACACACACACACGCACGCACGCACGCATGCACCAGAGGCAAAGGCAGGGGGCGCCAGGGAGCCCAGAGCACTCGGCGAGGGGTCCCCAGGGCAGGGCACTCACTTTCCGCCTGGTACCAGCGTACGGCGTGCAGTAGGTTCTCGCAATAATGCATGAGGAACTCGTGTCCACCCTGACCCGTGCCCAGCAGCAGAGGGAGCAGGTCTTGGCCGTCAATGACCCTGCGGGAAGGAAGCCGGGTGGGACGCAGGGCTCGGCGGGTACCCCCACCCGCTGGGCGCAGCATCCGTCCCTCTGCTGAGACCGCCCACAGCCCGCAGCTCTGTCCAGGGCGGTGAGGGACACACGTAGGGATGTGGACAGGTGCGCACACGGGCAGACACACAGTGACAGGCGGACAGATAAACACAGATATGGCGTCTAGGAGATAACACGGCAGGTAAAGGAGATTGCCTTGCACGCAGACGACCCGGGTTCGATCCCCGGCAGCCCATAGGGTCCCCCGAACCCCGCCAGCAATGACCCCCAGGGCACAGAGCCAGGAATAAGCCCTGAGCACTGTAGGATGTGACCCCCACGCAAAAAACAAAGACGTTAAAAGTAGAGACGTAGGCAGGTAAATAGAGACGCGTTGATAGCTACGTATCGAGATAAGAGGCCGTGTAATGACACCGATGGATTTATAAATCAATTGATTCAATAGATTGGCCGGCAGACTGATTGGTACGGAGAATCATAGAGACATGATGACTGTGTCCATGGTAGAGTAAGAGATAAATTAATTGGTTGGTGGATTGACGGATACATTGAATCCTAGGTAGATAGTCGGTGTGTCAATAGAGGGATAGATAAGTGAATCAGTAGATTGGTTGGTTGGCTGATACATTGTAGCAGATGTGGAAGGAAGGAAGGAGGGAGGGAGGGAGGGAGGGAGGGAAGGAAGGAAGGAAGGAAGGAAGGGAGGGAAGGAGGGAGGGAAGGAGGGAGGGAAGGAGGGAGGGAGGGAGGAAAGGAAGGAAGGTAGGAAGGAAGGAAGGAAGGAAGAAAAAAGAGGGAAGGAAGGAAGGAAAGAAAGGAGAAAAAGAGGGAAGGATGGAAGGAAAGAAAGAAGGAAGGAAGGAAAGAAAGAAGGAAAAAAGAGGGAAGGAAGGATGGAAAGAAGAAAAAGAAAGAAGGATGGAAGGACGGAAGGAAGGAAGGAAAGAAAGAAAAAGAGGGACGGAAGGAAGGAAGGAAAAAAGACGGAAGGAAGGAAAGGAGAAAAAGAAAGGATTGAAGAAAAGGAAGGAAGGAAGGAAGGAAGGAAGGGAAAAAAAGAGGGAAGGATGAAAGGAAGGAAAAAAGGAAGGAAGGAAAGAAGGAAAGAAAAGAAAAAAGAGGGAAGGATGGAAAGAAGAAAGGAAGGAAGGAAGGAAGGAAGGAAAGAAGGAAAAAAGAGGGAATGATGGAAGGAAGGAAGGAAAGAAGGAAGGAAGGAAAGAAAGGAAAAAAGAGGGAAGGAAAGAAAAAGAAGGATGGAAGGAAGGAAAGAAAGGAAAAAAGAGGGAAGAGTGGAGGGAAGGAAGAAGGGGGAGGAAGAAAGAAAAAAAGGAAGGAAGGAGGGACGGAGGAAGAAAGAAAGAGAGAAAGAAAGAAAGAAAGAAAGAAAGAGAGAGAACAGGAAAGAGACCATGGAGGAAGGGAGCAGGTGGCAGGGTCGCGGTCTCCCTCCCTCCCCAAACCCTCGTCCTTCCCGGACGTGTCCCTACCTGTCCTGGGGCAAGTGCCCGCCGGCCAGCCGCACCGCGGTGGGGAGGACGTCCATGAGGCTGGTGGGCGCGGACACCACGCGGCCGGCGGGCAGCACGCCCGGCCAGCGGAATATCCCGGGCACGCGGATGCCCCCTTCCCAGCCCCCCATGCCTTTGCCGCCTGGGGGAGCGAAGAGGGAGACCGAGTCAGACCCCCTGGTCGGAGGCCGTGACGGGTCAGTGCTGGACGCTGAGCTGGGAGCCCCCCCAGCCCCCAGCCCCCGAAATAAGGAAGGAAAAGGAGATTCCTGGCCTGGTTCCTGGTTCCCACATGCCGCACCCCAGAATAAGGAGGGACGGGAAGGGAAGGGAAGGGAAGGAAGGAAGGAAGGAAGGGAGGAAGGAAGGAAGGAAGGAAGGAAGGAAGGGAGAGAGGGACGGAAGGAGGGAGGGAGGGGAGGGAGGAAGAAGGGAAGGAAGAAAGGAAGAACGGAAGAAGGGAAGGAAGGAGGAAGGGAAGGGAAGGAAGGAAGGAAGGAAGGAAGGGAGGGAGGGAGGAAGGGAGGATGGAAGAAAGAAAGGAGGAAAGGAAGGAAGGAAGGGAGGGAGGGAGGAAGGAGGAAAGGAAGGAAGGACGAAGGAAGGAAGGAAAGAAGGAAGGAAGGAAGGAAGGAAGGATGAAGGAAGGAAGGGAGGGATGGAGGGAGGAAGGGAGAAAGGAAGGAAGGAAGGAGGGAAGGAGGGAGGAGGAAGGGAAGGAAGGAGGGAGGGAAGGAAGGAAGGGAAGGAAGGAAGGAAGGAAGGAAGGGAGGGAGGGAGGGATGACAGAAGCGGGAGGGAGGAAGAAGGGAAGGAAGAAAGGAAGGAAGGAGGGAAGGAAGAAAGGAAGGATGGAAGAAGGGAAGGAAGGAGGGAGGGAAGGAAGGAAGGAAGGGAGCGAGGGAGGGACGGAAGGAGGGAGGGAGGGAGGAAGAAGGGAAGGAAGGAAGGTGGAAAGGAAGGAAGGAGGGAAGGAACGAAGAAAATGGAGGAAAGGAAGAAAGGAGGGAAGGAAGGAAGGGAGAGAGGAAGGAAAGGAGGAAGAAAGGAATGGCGGAAGGAAGGGAGGAAGAAGAGAAGGAAGGAGGGAGGGAAGGAAGAAGGGAAGGAAGGGAGAAAAGAAGGGAGGAAAGAAGGAGGGAAGAAGGGAAGGAAGTAAGAAAATGGGAGGGAAGAAAGAAGGGAGGAAGAAAGGTGGGAAGGAAGAAAGGAAGGAGGGAGGGAGGGAGGAAGGATGGAAGGAAGGAAGAAGGGAAAGGAGGGAAGGAAGGAAGGAAGGAAGGAAGGAAGGAAGGAAGGAAGGGAGGGAGGGAAGGAAAGAAGGAAGGAAGGAGACGAAGGAAGGAAGGAGGAAGGAAGGAAGGAAGGAAGGAAGGAAGGAAGGAGAGAAAGAAGGAAGGAAGGAAGGAAGGAAGGAAGGAAGGGAGGGAGGGAAGGAAAGAAGGAAGGAAGGAGACGAAGGAAGGAAGGAGGAAGGAAGGAAGGAAGGAAGGAAGGAAGGAAGAAAATGGAGGAAGGGAAGAAAGTGAGACGGAAGGAAGGAGGGAAGGAAGGGAGAGAGGAAGGAAAGGAGGAAGAAAGGAATGGAGGAAGGAAGGAAGGAGAGAAGGAAGGAGGGAGGGAAGGAAGAAGGGAAGGAAGGGAGAAAAGAAGGGAGGAAGGAAGGAGAAAAGGAGGGAAGGAAGAAAGGAGAGGAATGAAGGAAGGAAGGAAAGAAGGAAGAGAGGGGCTGGAGCGACAGCACAGCGGGGAGGGCGTTGGCCTGGCACGCGGCCGACCCGGGTTCGATTCCCAGCATCCCCTAGGGTCCCCCGAGCACCGCCAGGAGGAGTCGTTCCCGAGTCCAGAGCCAGGAGGGACCCCCGAGCATCGCGGGGTGAGACCCCAAAAAAGCAACAAGAGGAAGAAAATAGACTTGAAAAGCAGCAGAAAGCGCGAACCACGGAGCCTGACCCCTGAAGATGCCGTTCCAGCCGCCGAGCTGTTGACCGTCCAGTTGCGCCTCCAGGGAGCCCCCGTGGTCCGAGGCGAAGTACACAACCGTGTCCCGGGTCAGTCCCCGGGCGTCCAGCATGTCCAGGATGCGTCCTGCGGGCGGACGCCGGCCGGGGTCAGCCCAGCACACGTCGGGGGGTCGACCCCAACGGCGGAGGGCTGGCCGCGTGCTGTCATCTTCTGTGTGTGCGTGTCTGTGCTTGAGTGTGCTTGTGTGTCCCTGTGTGTCTCTGTGTTTGAATGTGTCTCTGTGTGTGTCTGCCTGTGTCTGTATATGTGTGTGTTGCTCGAGTGTGCTTGTGTGTCCCGGTGTGTCTCTGTGTTTGTGCCTGTCTGCCTGTGTCTGTATATGTGTGTGTTTGTGTGTCTATCTGTGTGTTTGTGTATCTGCCTCTGTGTGCCTATGTGTTTCGTGTGCATTTGTCCATGTCTGTGTCTTTGTAGGTGTGTCTGTGGGCGTTACCTGTGTGTGTCTGCGTGTGTCTGCGTGTGCGATGCTCAGGGCTTATTCCCAACGTCTGTGTCTGTCTGTCTGTGTTTGTGTGTGTTGTGTCTGTGTGTATATATCTGTGTGTGTCTGTATATCTGTGTATGTCTGTGTTGAGCATATTTGTCTGTGTGTCTGTTTCTGTGCCTGTGTGTCTGTTTGTATATCTCTGTGTGTCTGTGGTTCTGTGTGTGTCTGTTTCTGTGTGTGTCTCTGTGTTTATATCTGTGTGTGTGTCTGTTTCTGTGTGTGTCTCTGTGTTTATATCGGTGTGTGTGTGTCTGTTTCTGTGTGTCTCTGTGTTTATATCTGTGTGTGTGTCTGTTTCTGTGTGTCTCTGTGTTTATATCTGTGTGTGTGTCTGTTTCTGTGTGTGTCTCTGTGTTTATATCTGTGTGTGTGTGTCTGTTTCTGTGTGTCTCTGTGTTTATATCTGTGTGTGTGTCTGTTTCTGTGTGTCACTGTGTTTATATCTGTGTGTGTGTGTCTGTTTCTGTGTGTCTCTGTGTTTATATCTCTGTGTGTGTGTCTGTTTCTGTGTGTGTCTCTGTGTTTATATCTGTGTGTGTCTGTTTCTGTGTGTGTCTCTGTGTTTATATCTGTGTGTGTGTCTGTTTCTGTGTGTGTCTCTGTGTTTATATCGGTGTGTGTGTCTGTTTCTGTGTGTCTCTGCGTTTATATCTGTGTTGTGTCTGTTTCTGTGTGTGTCTCTGTGTTTATATCTGTGTGTGTCTGTGTGTTTGTGTCTGTCTGTATCTCTGTGTGTGTCTGCGTCTTTGTGTGTGTCTGTGCCTATGTGTATATCTGTGTGTGTCAGTGTGTCTCTGTATTTCTCTGTGTGTTAATATGTGTCTGTGCGTTGTCTATATTTGTATGTCTGTGTGTTTGTGTGTGTGTCTGTGTCCATCAGTATGTGTCTGTGTATGTCTATGTGTGCCTGTGTGTGTGCCTGTGTGCGTGCCTGTGTGCATCAGTATGTGTCTGTGTGTGTCTGTCTCTGTGTGTACATCTCTGTGTGTCTGGGTGTGTCTGTGTGTATGTCTATGGGCATCACTATGTGTCTGTGTGTGCCTGTATGTTGTGTATATTTGAATATGACTGTGTCTTTGTATGTGTGTCTGTGCGTATATCTGTGTGTGTCTGTATGTGTGTGGGTGTTTCTGTGTGCTGTGTACGTATATCTGTGTCTGTATATCTGTGTCTGTCTGTGTTGTGTATATTTGTCTGTGTATCTATGTGTGTATGTCTGTGTGTGTCTATGTCTGTGTGTGTCTCTGTGTGTCTGTATGTCTCTGTGTGGGGGTGTGTCTGCCTGTGTGTTTCTGTGTGTATCTGTGTGTCTGTATATCTGTCTGCGTCTGTGTCTTTGTGTGTGCTTGCGTGTCTGTCTGTATATCTGTGTGCTTCTGTGTCTTTGTGCGTGTCAGTGTGTCTATGTGTCTGTGTGCTGTCTATATTTGTGTCTCTGTGTGTTTGTGTGTGTGTCTGTGCCCATCAGTATGTGTCT